TATATATATATATAACCGATCCTTGCTTCTCCCGTCTCTCACGATATCTGCCTCTCCCGACTCTCGCGAAACCCTTGCTCTCCATCTCTCCTTAGCGAATCAGAACCCCCCGTTCCGTTTGTGCGCGTGAAACCTCCTGCTCCTCCCTCGTTCGCGAAAAAGCCCTTCCCGTCTCTCTCTTGCGCAAGAAAGGAAAACCGCCCCGCTCTTCTCTGTTGTTGGAGAAACAGATTCATGCCTCCTGGAATCGCTGCAAACAAAAGGTAGACGGGCTTGAAAAAGGGGCAAGGCTTATTCTCCATCTTCTTCTTCTGCTGCTGTCCTCTGGATTTGGCTTACGTGAGGAGGAGAAAGAGAGAAGAAGAGTAAATTATTGCTTGCAATCTTTTTCTTGTGTGGCTCTAGAGAGAGATAAGAGGAGAAATAAAGTTGTTTCTTGTAAAAGAATGACGTGATCAAAAGGTGTGATTCTTCAATTAATAAACTCTTTTGAAATAGTAAATTTGTCGCTCTGTTTCTGAGGATGTAGATATTTTTGCCGAACCTCTTTAATTCTCTTGTCCGTTATTTTGGTTAGTGTCGATTCTTGTGTTGTTTCGCCCTAAATTTCATATCAAAATGTGGGTGGGGAGCAAAACTTTACCCTATATTATGACATAATTCTATAATTTATACATCTAAATTTTGCAAGATCAAAGCAGCATAAAAAAATAAATTATTAGACATCATCTATATAGTTGTATTTTTTGACTTCCATGGAAGCGATTAGTGCCTCTAAAACTTTGCCATTGAAATCATAATTAAATCTATAACCATTTCTGGGGAATGTACCCATTAATTTAGAAAGTTTAATAAAAAATTGTGTGTGTGTTTGGAAGTTTATTTTCTCTGTTCTTTTCACACATGATTTGAATTAGATCCAGTTTAATTCCTCATAACATATACATTATGTTATGCATATGCATAATTGCTTGTTTCAAGTAATATACATATCTGAGTTTCGTCATCAATTGCGCAGAGTATCGGAAGAGGACCATAGAACAG